CCAGGGAGGGGACGGTGGGACCGGCGGGGACAGGGCGGGGCATGGCCGCGGCGCCCGGAGGGTCCGTGCCGCCCGCCGGCCCCGGCCCGCGCCTGGGCTTCAGCACCGCGGACAGCAGCGTCGCCACAAGCGGGCTGAACCCGGGGGCCGCGGTGCCCATGAAGGACCACGACGCCATCAAGCTCTTCGTGGGGCAGATCCCGCGGGGCTTGGACGAGCAGGACCTCAAGCCGCTGTTCGAGGAGTTCGGCCGCATCTACGAGCTGACCGTGCTGAAGGACCGGCTCACCGGCCTCCACAAAGGTGCGCGGGGTCAGCCCAGCCCAGCCCGGCCCGGCCCGGCCCAGCCCGGTCCAATTAGAGCGCGGCCCAGCCCAGCCCCAGCCCCGGCCGCAGCCCCCGCCTCACCCTACCCAGAGCCGGTCCAACACCAGTCCATGTCCTGTCCACCTCTGCCCCGTCCCCTCCTCCCCGAGAGCCCCCAGCCTGGATTCTCTCCTGATCTCACTCTGGTCTCCTAACACGTTCTTGGTCTCACCTCCAAAGCCCTACCCCACCTCTCACATGCCAGCAGTCCCGCCTTTCAGGTGGACCTCACAATTCTTCCACTCACACATCCCAAATCCTGCAATGTGGAAACTCAGCCCCGCCTCCTAGCTTTCCTGTACCCCCATCTCCTGAACCTGGACCCCTGTGTTCCTGAACCCTCCACCTAGTGCCGCCCCACCCAGGCCTAACTACTCACCCCAGGATCTTGGACTCAAACCACTCCTCCTTCCTAGTCTCCAACTCCAGCCAATCCCCAGAGCCTTGCCTGACTCCCAGACTGCCAACCTAAAACCCCAGGGACCTAAACTTTCCCTTTCTCCAGAACCCAGACCTGTCGAGCAGAAAGTGCAATTCACCTTCTGGAGGTTCTCAGTTCCAAATGCCCCTCACGTCTGACAGTTACCCCTACCTCCCTCTTTTTGCCAGAATCCAACACTCTGTGCCTGATTTGAGAGCAGACCCAACCTCAGCTGGGAGCTCCTGCCACCTGGGTCCCTTCATCTTTGATTTCCCCTTAGCTGAATCCTCTAATCCCCTCTCCTGGGCCCCTTCATGCCTCATGCAGCCTCCTGCTTTCCTTCCCTCAGGAGTCCTCTCAGGGTGGGTCAAGCTGAGGAGGAGGAAGTGGGGGCAATCTTTTCCCTGCCCTTGCTAGAAACACAGAGACACCACCGTCTGTCCAGCCACACCCCTTTCTTCCTGAACAGAGGGAGGAGACTTGTTTACATGCAGAAAAGTCTGCCCAGGCCGAGCTGAAGTAACAGAGGAGAGACATATGTCGTACGTGGGCAGGGAAAGGAGAAATAATTTGAGCAGAAACATCCTTATCTCCTATCTCCCCACACTGCCACTGTGCTGTGGTTTCAACGATTTGGTGGGGAAGGGGCACCAAGTATCCTTTATGATCCTCCTCTCTTAGCAGTGGGCCTCCGGAAACAGCTAAAGCCACATTCCTAGGGGATGACAGCTGGGATCAGATGGCCACCTATTTGCAGCTGGGAGACTTTAGGGGGTTCCTTGGTCCATGAATGTAGGGGCTTCAGGACAATTCCCGTAGAAGGGCTGGAACCATCTGGGTAGGGGTACAGCCTCCATCCTTTGGGGTGGGATATGTTACACAGGCCATGAAAAGACAAGATCCCACCATCCAGAGACCTTATAATGGCACTCAACTTCCTATGTATCTGCTCATCCACCTATAGTAACATTTTATTTTCTAGACATTGATTTCACCAAGTAAATATAAAGCTAATCTTTGTAGGTCATCTGTACAATAAAGGAAGTCTATAGAATACCTTTAATCCTCTCTCTTCCCACTTAAATGCTATCAGGGTCTCTGAACTGTTCCCTCATCCTCTCTTTCCTCCCCCAGTTAGCTCTAATTCTTCCCTTTTCTTCCTCCTTTTCCTCCTGTCTCTCAAACCACACTTCTCTCGATTTCTGTCCCTCCATTCTTCCACTCTCTACCCTAGTCAATCCACATAGACTCCTTTAGGTAGCAGTTGGATCCCCAGGCCTTTCAGACAGGCCCTCTGTCTGCTTCTGATGTCACATGGCATAGTTTGGTGGCAGAAGACAGAGTAGCGATGCAAGTGGAATCACGTATTTGGGATTTATTTGCATTCCAACTTGCACCTCTCAGAGGCAAGCACCACCTCGAAAGATGATTATGGAGGGTCTCTGAGTCCACATTGTCTCCAGCCTCTCTCTAGCAATGGTGACATCTCAAAGCTAGAGTGACTCATTTTCCTTTCGATGTCTGGGTACCGAGGGAAGCAATCACAGTGCTTTGAAAACAACCCAGCCTTGGGGTTAGAAACCTCCAAATTTCCCTGCCACTGCTACTCCCTGGGCTTCAGGTTCCCTACTGATATGATATGAGTTTGATTCAATGAATGGCAGATAACTCCCCCGCCCCACATCTTCAGGAGGCAACCCAAATAGAGGACACTAAAAAAAAAAAAAGTTCCCATTTGCCTTTCTAGTCTGCTGAGGTCTAAATGGAAAATTGCACCAAGCTCCTAATAGTTTCCCACATCTACTCTCTCTTCCTTCAGTCCTTCTCCTTCCCACACTCAAAAGGCTCTTTTCAAAAACATAGATCTTATCATGTCACAAGCCTCCTTAAAACCTTTTAGTGGCCCTTCATTGGTTTCAGGAAAAAGTTTAAAATCAGATTGAGGCCTGTAATTCCTGACTATATCACTACATACTCCACACACCAGCCTCCAACTATGCCAGCCTTCTATTTTCCAGCACACTATTTTTTTTTTCAGTACTGGGTATTGAACCCAGGGCCTTTGCACTGAGCTACAGCCCTATATCTTTTTATTCTTTCATTTTGAGACAGAGTCTCACTAAATTGCTAAGTAGGCTGGGGTCTAAAGTGTGATCTTCCTGCCTCAGCCTCCTACAGTGTTAGGATTACAGATGTACAACCTACTCCTGACCCCAAAATTCTAAATTCTTTAATCAATCTTCATACATGCTCTTCCCTCTACCTGAAACAATTGCCATCCTTTTGCTACGTGATTCTAGAGGACTTCATATTCTTGTTCTTGAAGACTTGGTGTCTTCATTGAGATAGTCTTTATCCCTTTGGACTCAAATGCCTCCCCCGCCCCATGATTCATTTAATTCTCATGAGGACAGGGAATGTGTTCATCTTGTTGCCTCTCTATCCCCAAACCCATCATAATGCCTTCTCATAAAGATTCAATATTTTCTGAATGAGTGGGTTATCAGTGGCCATTGCAAAGGAAGAGATCCCACCCTCAGTGCTTCTTAGAGGGTTAAGCTTCTGAGGCTGAACAAAGAGGAGTGGGTTGCTGACCCTTTGGTTCAACTCAGACTCCTTCCTTCCCCAGTATGTTGGTCCTTTTAAGGGAATTGGACTTGGGACACAAGAACCCTTCCAGAGGCCCTATTTTGAAGCCCTGGGAGAGGGGGCAGATCAAGCTCCATGAGTAGGATAGGGGGTCTCCGGAAGCCCCCACCTTCCTTCCCACCCCTCAGTGTCACAAGTGAAGGAGCTGTGAGGTCCCGGGCTTGGCCCTCTTGTCTGAAACTGAGTTCGGAAAGAACTGGGGCCGATTCTGGAAGACTCCATGAGTCTGGAGCCAAAAAGAAAGGGGCGTCTCGGTTGAAGATGAAGGCAAAGCTGCTTAAGGAGGTTTAACCCTAGCAGGACTTTTGACTGCAGTGGGAAGGGAGATGTGAGATTGCAGGAGCATGTGACTTGTGTGGGCACACATGTTCCCTGGGCATTGGGCCAGAGCACAGAAGGAACCAGGGACATGGGTCCCTAGGCCCGAGAAGACCCTCCCTGCAGGAAAAACAGGAGGCAGAGAAACAGTGTGGCTTAAAAGAGAATGCACTGATGTTTGCCAGCTTAGGGGAGTCTTTCCAAAAAAAGCATTTGGGGGTTGAGGAAAACCCCTGAGCCAGCCCCTTCCTCCTCAGGCTGTGCCTTCCTCACCTACTGCGCCCGGGACTCTGCTCTCAAGGCCCAGAGTGCACTGCACGAGCAGAAGACCCTGCCAGGGGTAAGTCACTAGGGCTGGGGGGTGGGAGTCCCCCCAAGCTGTGGACAATGCCCTGTGTGCATGCAAGAGCCACAGATGGGACTGGGTTGGGACTGAGAACTAGGAGCAGCGACACTTCCTAGGCAAGGGCTTACTGTGCCCTGAACAGCTACAATTTCTATAAAACTGTCTTCCAGCTCAAAGAAATAGGTTTAAGATCCATGGGCCAAGGGTTGCACCCTATCTTTTAGGACAGACAAACATTTTGTGGGCTAGGCTGGAATTTGTTCACCTTGGCTAAAAGCATGGCTCCAGGTGTGAGCATGCGTGTAGTTACTGGTGTGAGCATTTGTGTAGTTACGTGGAGTGGGAGGCTCTGCCAGGCTGGTATCCTATTTTCTCTAGGCCTGTGGTCTTTGATGGCACTTCCCTTTGGCCTTCTTCCTGTAATACTTTTGGAGGGTGGATGCCTTTGCTCATCAAGACTGTCTTTGCTCTACATTCCAACACTTGACTGAAGTTTGGTGAGATCCTAAGGCAATAGAACTTGTAAGCACATGTGATGCGTGATCTGGTCTTGGCTGATGGGTAGTCACTGGACAAAGGCCAAGTGGGCCCTCCTGACAAAGTGGCGGATGGAAGTCACCAGGATAGCATGGGTTACTGAGAGCAAGCCACACTCCACAGCCTCATTTTCTCTTGTCCCAGGAGTGGTGTGTCTAAGACAAGAGCTCTCTTCAAATGTCATGGGCAGGCCAAACCTAGGACTGCACCCACTCTAGGCCTCAGCTTTAAGAGGGCCACTAGGTTGCCAAAGTGAGAGCAGCCGGTGGGAGCAAAGACGAAAAACATCTTGGGATGATATTTGAAGAAACTGGGAGATGTTGCCAGAGAAGATAGACTGTAAGTGGGACTTAAATTGGAAGGCATTATAATATAATCATTGAGAATACTGTTTGTTTTTTTTCTGGTACTGGGGATCAAACTCAGGACCTTGTGCTTGTGAGGCAGGTAGCAGAACCACTGAGCTAAATCCCTGGCCCAAGAATACTGGTTTGTTTTTTGTTTGTTTGTTTGTTTTGGTACCGAGCATCGAACTCGGGACTTTTGCTTGCAAGGCAGGCAGAAAAACCACTGAGCTAAATCCCTGGCCAAGAATACTGGTTTTTAAGCTGGACATGGTAGTGCACGCCTGTCATCCCAGGATGCAGGAGGCCAAGGCAGGAGGCCGAGGCAGGAGGATTGCCGTGAGTTCAAGGCCAGCCTGAACTCCATAGTATGACAAAAATAAAGTGGTTTTCAAGTTTCCCAGATGTAGACTTGAATCTCAGCTCTGCCATTCACCAGTTCTATGTCTCTGGATACATTACTTAGACTCTTGGTCTTCAAATTATTCACCTATAAAGAGTGGGTTGTGCCAGGTGTGGTGGTACACACCTGTAATCCCAGCACTCAGGAGGCTGAGGCAGGAGGATTACCTCGAGTTCGAGGCCAGACTGGGCTATATAGTGAATTCAGGGCCAGCCTGAACTACAAAGGGAGACCCTGCCTTAAAAAAAAAAAAAAGATTGGGCTGTGCTAATACCTTGCTCCCTTGGCTGCAGTGAGGATTAATTGACCCTTAGCAAGTGCCTAAGATTCCAATAGGTGTGACTACTGGGGCCAGGGGCAAGTGATTTCAGATTCTGGAGAGGGATTTGGTTTCTCCTGGTGGTCTCAGAAGCCAGGATCAGGCTGGGCCAGTATGAGGGACAGATATGGTCTCAGCATGGTACAGTGTAGGAAAGTCACTGCTATGCATTGTAGCTGTCCAGCAAAGGAACAAGCTTTGTAAGAGTTGACCAACCATGATGGGGTGTCATAGCCTAGAACCATCTCAGTCACTGAAGCAGCTTGATCCTCACTTTGGGAGACTCAGGGCCAAGTTGCCCCAGTTTCCATCCATCCTCCATCCTCTGTATGCAGGCGATGGAGTCAGATGAAGCCCAATGGAGACTCAGCCCTGCCGCTGTCTACCTCTGTGACCTTGGGCAAGCCCTACCTCTGTGCCTAGGTTCTTCCACCTGTATGACTGAGCTCACAGGGTCATTATGATGGCTGAATGAGTCAAGTCTTGTAAAGTGCTTAGCACAGTTCTTGGAAGAAAATCAGCACTCCACAGAGGTCAGCTGGTGGTAGTAGCAGCAGCAACAGTACCAGCGGCACTCCTAGGAGCAGTAGTGGAAGTCATCACTCATCTCCTCGTGGGAGCAAACAAGTTGTGCCACTTGTACCAGGAGGCAGTGAGATGAGCTGTGACATCTGTGTGGGAAACAGCTCCGTAAAGGGGCAGAGGCAGAAGGAACGGGCAAGTGTGGGGTGGGGCTAGCAGAGCTCCAGAGAGCAGCAGCTCAAGGGAAACTGAGCACCACTGGAGGGATTTGGACATCATCCTGAAAGCCAATGGGAGACACTGCAAACGTTAAGATGAACTTCGGAGGTGGGGGGAGAAAAACTTCCCAATGAGCCGGGGGCTCTGCTCAATGAGGGCTCTAAAGGGTGAGGATGCCTGAGAGAAAGGCTGTGTAGACCTAGAGAGCTAGGAGAATTATTGGGGAGAAAAACAAAATAATAATAACTAACCACTGTGGGTGCTAGTGTTCATAGTACTTTACATGTTCTTTTTGTATTTGCTTTTTTGGGACAGGGTCTCGGTGTACAGTTCAAGCTGGCCTTGAATTCACTATGAGACTGGGCTGGCAATCCTCCTCCTCCCTCAGCCTCCACCCAGCTACTTTCCATGTACTAAGTCATTAAATCTTTTTTTTTTTTTGGTACTGGGGATCAAACTCAGGACCTTACACATGTGAGGCAGGCAATGGAACCACTGAGCTAAATCCCCGGCCCATCATTAAATTTTTTGTAAGGAAGGTACTGTTATTGGTATCACCATTCTACAGATGAGAGAACCGAGCCTTAAAGGTCAAGCAACTTGTCAAGGTTTTGGTGATACTAATGGGAACTTCTGGGGCTTTGAGCCCAGTTAGTCTGGCTCCAGAACTCACTCACTTAACGACTGTGATGTCACCTGAGCCAAGGTGATGGCTTGGTGTCAGGGGTGATGGTGAGTGGGGATGTCTACCCTTTCCCGTACGCCCATCTGCAGGCCTCCAGCGTGGCCTGGCCTCCTCTGCTACCTGCAGCATTGGTTTTATTCACTCTCCCCAGCCTAACAAAGTGAAAATTAATATTTAATTATTCCCCTAAACGAAAATCAATAGCTGTGTTGGCCGCCCCAGCCATGTCCATGCCATCCATCTTTCTTCTCAGCCGGCCAGGGAAAGCAGCAACTTCGGTCACCTAGACTGGAAGCCAGCACAGGGAGAGGAACGGGCACCCAGCTCCCTGGAGGCCCTGGTTCCTGGGCACAGTGGCCACCGGCTGGAGGAGCAGGGGTAGGATGTCAGTGCGGGGCTCCTGCTGCAATCCAGCTAACGCCTCACTGTGAGGCTAAAAAAGCTGGGTCAACCCCCAAGAGAAGCCCTGGGCCCTTGGGGGCAGAAGTGGGGATTTAACAGAATTTGCTAGACTGTGATCTCTCTTTGCTGGGTTTTTTTCCCCCCATGGTATTGGGGATTGAGCTCAGGGTCTTCACACTGAGTTACATCCCCAGCCCTTTTTTGGTTTTTTTATTTTGAGACAAGGTCTCGCTAAGTCACTAAGTTGCCTACACTAGGCTCGAACCTGTGATTCTGCCTCAGCCTCCCAGAGTGCTGGGCTTACAGGCATGTGCCACCACACGTAGCCTGAGCCTTCTTCCTAGCTCCCTTCCACTTGCCTGCTGCCAATTTCTGTCACTTATCAAAATTTGACTTCTGGGGCTGGGGATTTAGCTCAGTGGTTTCACCACCTGCTGAGCAAGCACAAGAGCCTGAGTTCGATCCCAGGTACAAAAAAAAAAAAATGTGGTTTCTGGCCTGACCTGCTGGTACACACCTGTAATCCCAGAAGGCTCTGGGAAGCTGAGACAGGAAGATCACCAGTTCTAGCCCAGCCTGTGTAACTTAGTGACTTAGTGAGACCCTGTCTCAAAACAAAGTCAGGGGAAAATAATTAGGGGGCCAGGGATTTAACTCAGTGGTGCTATGCCTGCCTGGCAAGTACAAGGTCCTGAGTTCAATCCCTGGTACCAAAAAAAAAAAATTAGGCTTCCTCCTCTGTTCCATGTGGTTCTTGTCTCCTGCAGCCTCTTCCCCATGAAGCTGGAGCTACTTCTTCCAGCCTCACTGTTTTGTTGGTTTGTTTTTTGAGATAGGGTATGTAGTTCATGCTGGCCTTGAACTTACCATGTAGCCCAGGCTGGCCTCAAACTTGTAGCTGGGCTCTTCCCTTAGGCTCTCAAGTGCTGGGATTACAGGCCTGCACCACCAAGCCCAGCCAGCCTCATTTTTTAATTTGTTCATTTATTTTTTGTTTTTTTTGTTTTGTTTTTGGTACTGGGTAGTGAACTCGGGTCCTTGTGCTTACGCAGCAGGCGATGAAAACACTCAGCTAAATCCCCAGCCTGTTCATTTGTTTATTGAGACAGAGTGTCAATATGTGGCCCATGCTGGCCTTTAACTCATGCCTTTAACTCAGCCTCCCTAGTGCTGGGATCACAGGTGAGTGCCACCATACCCAGCTCCAAACTAACCTCACTTTTGGCTCCAGCACCAACCTGAAAGAGTGAGGCCAACTTCAACTCCACTTTCTGGAATTCAGAGGGTACCCCCTTATTTGTCTGTCTCCTTGCCCAGGACCCGCCTTCCTGGGGGACTCTTCAAATACTGAAGGAGGCAGACACAGCTGAGCAGTGAAGTGGATTTGCTTGCACAAAATAGTGGGGCAAGAGAGCAAACGGAAGCTAAAGTCCAGGGCTTCATCAGCCCAGAGGATGGGGCGTGCTTTGTTCTCACCTATCTGCAGGGCTGGGAGCACCTTTGTGTCACTCATAAAAGGCACTATACGGGCAGCCATCTGCTCCGGGATGAGGCTGAGCTTCT